GCATTGAAATTTCATAATTCTTGTTACCAATTTCAATATTAAAAATTAATAAATAAAAATAAAAAATACTAGCCTAAAAACAAGCTTATACTTAAGACAAGTAAACAGCCACAAATTACAAAAAAAATACCTACTTGAAACACTTAAAGCACTGAATAAGAAATTTTATTGTATTAAATAAATGTATGAATAGTCTTCACTGTATAAATTCAATGTACATTCATTCTTATTTATTTTACAAAAGTGATTCAGTCAAGGACAGTGAGTGATTTTCTTTCTAATGTTTGATTCAGTCAAGGACAGTGAGTTATTAGAGGAATAGCTCACCCAAAAATTAAAGGTCTGTTGTTGTTAAAGGGCCGTTCACATGTCGCGCCGCTTTCTGTTTTCCCCCAAAGCGTTCGGGCGCTTGCGCTAAGCAACCATGACCTGCGCTCTCCATGAAGACGCGGAAGTTTCAGCAAAGGATAAATGGATTTGCAGCACTAAAAATCGCTTGAAGTAGCTCTGCTACTAAATTTATTTAAAAATGGCTATCCCTGTACAGCTATGATCAGCTGTTCCTTCATCTTGGCTGACTGTTTTTTTTTTTTTAGTTTGTAATGTATTAAATACCCCCTTTTTCTTTTCTTTATTTATTTTTATTTTATGTTGTTGTCATTGTCTACCATTTTTATTTGTTGGTGATTGAGTTACTGTTTGTATACTGTCTTTGAGCATTAATAAAAAAAATAAAAACACCACATGCTGGTGACCCCTGCTGGTTAAAATGGTGGAAATGCAATGAAAACTAGACCACAACATGCAAATTGCCTTTACAAACCCATTGCAAATGTTTTGTATTAATATAATATATTAAATGCAATTCACATCATCAAATACCATTACATATTAAGTGTCTGTATAATGTGTTTTTTTATTGATTTGCAGGGCTTGTTTTGTTTGTTTTATGGAAAGCTTGTCTAAACAGGCAAATAAGAGACTATTAACCTGATAGAACACGTACATCACGGAGACATCTATTTGATTTACACAAGCTTCAGTCTGGATCCAGAACACCTGAGAAGAGATGATGCCAACCCCTCAGAGGACCTCAGATGAAGACAACCCTGAAACAACATACAGAACTACCACATTTTGCTATAAGTTTGATTGCATCATATAATTGCTGTTAATAGTGTTCATTGTCTGTTTGATGACGTCTTTAATTGATTTTTCCGTACATTTCTGCCATATGTATATTAACTGACAGTCACCACTGATAAGCTACCACTAAATATTGTAGAAACTTAATTTGCTGTAAAGTTGCTTTGCAATGATTTGTATCGTGAAAAGTGCTGTACAAATAAACTTGAATTGAATTGATGTCTGCATTTACATCAGCAAGATGTATTTTTTTGTGTGTTTGCTCATCTGCAATACGTCTATAGGATGTTTCCTATCAGATGTCAAATAGACATTTATTAGATGACCTTACCTGTGACCGTTATGTTTAAAGTACTCTTTACAGAAATCAGTGACCATTTGACACAAGATCAACATCAAAATGCGATTGCTCTGCCTGTTCCTGCTGGTGGCTGGTAGTTCCTGCTGGTGGTTTACCGATGAGGACGACAAGAAGGAAAGTGTCAAGAAGGAAAGTGTCAAGGAGGAAAGTGTCAAGGAGGAAAGATACAAGAAGGAAATTGTTGGGACAGTGATTGGAATAGACCTCGGGACGACCTACTCATGGTGAGAATTTGAGAGTTTGGATTCATATACAGGGTTCACAGGATCACACACACACACACATATATACTGTATATATATATATATATAATATTAAAAATATATATATAAATTATATACAGTAGTCAACATTTGAAGTGGATCAAAACCTTTCATCAAGGTTGTCCTAAAACCTAAAACCATTCTCTATTATTTATAATTAACTTATAAGTTTGTATTTTATTTTTAAATACTATTTTATTTTGTTCCAGTGTTGGAGTGTTCAAGAACGTCCGTGTCGAGATCATCGCCAATGACCAGGGAAACCGCATCACTCCGTCATACGTGGCCTTCACCACTGAAGGTGAGCGACTCATCGGAGACGCTGCGAAGAACCAGCTGACCTCCAATCCTGAGAACACAGTGTTTGACGCCAAGAGGTTGATCGGCCGCACATGGGGCGACTCGTCCGTGCAGCAGGACATTAAATATTTTCCCTTTAAGGTAAACACATCTGCCAGCCTGTGTTTGAACTGTATTTGAACTAAACGTCTCTTTGTCTTCAATGGGGACACTAAACACCTGCTGTGTCTCTTCCAGGTTATTGAGAAGAAGAACAAGCCTCACATCCAGCTGGACATCGGATCAGGTCAGATGAAGACTTTCACCCCTGAGGAAATCTCTGCCATGGTTCTGATTAAAATGAAGGAAACTGCAGAGGCTTACCTGGAAGAGAAGGTAAAGTTTTGACACCAACACCAAGAAAACATGTAATCTCTGTTGCACTGCCGTAAAACTCAACATCTGATCTGTTTCTGCTCTTCTAAAGGTCACACATGCTGTGGTCACTGTGTCCGCTTATTTCAATGACGCCCAGCGCCAGGCCACCAAAGATGCAGGAACCATCGCCGGACTGAATGTAATGAGGATCATCAGTGAGCCGTAAGTATAGAATTACTTCTGCTTTGTTGTAAAACAGGTTGTTCCACTTCAGGAACTCGAGTTGCGTCAGAGAACGCTTTGGGAATGCCTTCTGTGACCACGCTTTGAATCACATGTGTAATCCGTCCAATGGAAGGGCGCGACGTCACGGGCAGGTGACGTCATCAACCAGGAAGCTTAAAAGTATGTGCGGCGGAGCTGGCGTCCACTTTTTTGTCATTCAGCAAAGTGCTCTGTGTGTGTCAGTTCAAAACTCTGTGTTTGTGAGTCTTATTTATTGTTGTTTGTCCAAAATACAACTAATAAGCTCCACTATGTCAAAAGCTCACGCTAAGACAAAGCACTCTAAGGGTGAGAGCAAGCCGCGTTATAGACTGTGTGTTCCTCCCTGCCCACGCTACATCACAGGTGGGGATACATACAGTCTGTGCGTGGTTTGCTTGGGAGCGGAGCACACAGAGTCTGCTCTCGAGGGGGCCGGCTGCCTGCATTGCGAGCTTCACCCACTGCGTACGCTTCGCTCCCGGAGGGCTCTCTTTGAGGCTTCTGTCGAGGCGGAGCGGCGGCTGCATTCGTGGGGTTCGCAGTTGAATCTAGTGGAGGGAATGGAGACTGGCGAGTCCCTATCTTCTTCCTCACCCGCCAGATCCAGCGCCCGATCTCTGAGTTCGGAAGCCTGTTCTGTGGCTACTTCCTCCCAGGGTGAGGGCTCGACGCTCCGCCTGTCTTCCTCCAAGGAATTTGACGTGGAGGGCGTCGAAGAGGTTTCGCCCCCTCAATCGCCCCAGTATGAGGAGCTAGTGGAGGTGCTTACTCGCGCTGTGGCCAAGTTCAAAATCGATTGGCCCGCCAAGAAGCAGGCCGAGCCGCACCGAAGCAAATTAGATGAACGCTTCCTGCGGGCGAGGCCACCACCTCCATGCCGAAGCCTGCCATTTTTCCCCGACCTTCACACTGAGGTGTCGAGGTCATGGTCCAAGCCTTTCTCGGCCCGTCTTTTCATCCCTGCCTCAGGTTATTATGGAAATGTGGCGGGGTTGAGTGAGCGTGGCTATAGGGCGATGCCCCGGGTTGAACAGACGCTGGCAAGCTATCTGTCCCCAGGCGCGGCATCGTCCTTAAAGGCTCCGGCACTGCCCTCCAAGCCACATCACTGAGGTGTCGAGGTCATGGTCCAAGCCTTTCTCGGCCCGTCTTTTCATCCCTGCCTCAGGTTATTATGGAAATGTGGCGGGGTTGAGTGAGCGTGGCTATAGGGCGATGCCCCGGGTTGAACAGACGCTGGCCCCAGGTGCGGCATTGTCCTCAAAGGCTCTGGCACTGCCCTCCAAGCTGCTGCGTACAACATCAGCGCTGGTGGGCAAGGGGTATGCGGCAGCAGGTCAGGCCGGTGCGTGTCTGCACACAATGTCTGTGTTACAGGCGCACCAGGCAGACCTGCTTAAAGAGCTGGACGAGGGCGAGGAGCTTAACTCTGATAACATCGCAGAGATAAGAAGAACCGTTGCTCTCTCTCTCCGCGCCACCAAGGAGACCGCCCATGACATTGGCTATGGTGGCAGCAGAGAGGCATTTGTGGTTGACCCTGTGAGACATGAAAGAGAAAGACAGGGTCTTCCTCCTCGATGCCCCGCTTGCGCCTTCTGGCCTGTTCGGCAACGCCGTCAATTCCGTCGTCGACACGTACCAGGAGGCCCGTAAACAGGCGGTGGAGTTTCAGCGGTTCCTCCCTCGCCGCGTCTCAGCTCTGGGGGCTGCTGGGCGGGAGCAGTCCCCTCCGCGTACCAGCTCCTCATACAGGGAGGCTCAGAAACAGAGCATTGCCGCCCGTGCTTCCCCGCGTCTGGGTCGGGGACTTCTAAGCCGGATCTGCGGACCGTCCTTCAGGCTAAGAGGTCCTCGACCAAAAAGTCCTGACTATTGGGGTTCAGGACTGGTGAGGGCAGGCCCTTCTGGGGAAGAGAGGTTCACACCGCATTACACGGTGCCTGTCTCCCCCCAGTGCCCTCAGGAGATCGATCTACCAACCCTGCCGGTGTTCCAGGGTGCAGCAGTCTCCAGTGGGCGCTTCTCTCAGTTACCGCCCAGGAACGTAGCGGTGCTAAGAGGCTCGTGACCTCTGCGGAGGTCCCCAGAGCAGCTATTTTGGCCGTCCCCTGCCGGTGCGCCACTTCAGGGCACTGAGCTAGCCGCTCTGGTTACACCAGAGGTCAGTCTCGAGAGACTGATTCCCTTAGTAGACTATTTAGCAGCGTGGAATCTACTGCCAAATGTGTCTCAATGGGTCGTGCATACTATTGAAAGAGGCTACAGAATCCATTTCGGTTCTCCTCCACCTCGATTCAAGGGGTCACCCCCTCTCTGGTGGGTCCCGAGCAGGCTCTGGTATTAGAACAAGAAGTAGTCACTCTCTTAAAGAAGGAGGCCATCAAGGTGGTCCCTCCGCATGAGAGAGAATCCGGGTTCTACAGCCGGTAATTCATTGTTCCAAAGAAGGATGGGGGGTTCAGGATGCTCACACTCAAACAAGTCGTGTCTCAGATCAGGTCCGAGGATTGGTTTGTCACGATCAATCTAAAAGACGCATACTTCCATGTCTCCATCCTTCCTCATCACAGGAAGTTCCTGAAGTTCACGTTTGGGGGCAAAGCTTACCAATATCGTGTTTTTCCTTTCGGCCTTGCGAAGTGTGTGGATGCTGCTCTGGCTCCATTGCGACTCCAGGGCATCCGCATACTCAACTACATCGACGATTGGTTGATATTAGCTCATTCAGAGCAGGTAGCGGTTCGACATCGGGATGTCGTTCTCGCTCACATGAGAGAGCTGGAGTTAAGACTAAACTCCAAGAAAAGTGTGCTTTCTCCATTACAGAGGACCACTTATCTGGGCGTGGTATGGGATTCGGAGACGACTACATGCCTTAGACATGTGGAGGAAACCATGGTTCTTGTCTCAGGGCCCGGTGCTGGGAGCTCCTTGTCGCTGCGTAACGCTAGCGACGTACGTGCGTCCCTCACCGGTTGGGGTGCGGTCATGAGTGACCACCCTGCTCGCGGTCTGTGGAGTGGTCGCCATCTAACGTGGCATATCAATTGTCTAGAGATGCTGGCCGTGTTTCAAGCACTGAAACACTTTCTCCCAGACCTGAGAGGTCACCATGTGTTGGTCCACACCGACAACACAGCGGTGGTCGCTTACATCAATAACCAGGGAGGTCTGCGTTCGCGCCACTTGTACAAGTTAGCACACCAGATCCTTGTGTGGTCCCAGGACAGACTCCTCTCGCTGAGAGCAGTGCACATTCCTGGGCATCTCAATATGGAAGCAGACATCCTGTGTAGGCAGGGGCTGAGGCCCGGGGAATGGATGCTTCACGCTTCCACCCAGGTGGTGAAGCAGATATGGAGTATTTTTGGCCAGGCTCAGGTGGACTTGTTTGCAACTCAGAAAACATCGCACTGTCCCCTCTGGTTCTCTCTGATTCATCCAGCTCCACTGGGGCTGGATGCCATGGTACAGACGTGGCCGAGGCTTCGTCTGTACGCCTTTCCCCCTTTTGCTCTGCTCCCGGGAGTTCTGGAGAGAGTGCGCCGGGACAGGGTCCGTCTACTGCTAGTCGCCCCGTTCTGGCCAGGCCAAGTATGGTTTCTCGGACCTGATTTCCCTTCTCGACGGCTCTCCATGGGAGATCCCCATCAGGAGGGATCTCCTCTCACATCTTTCACCCCCACCCGGAGCTGTGGAAGTTATGGGTGTAGGCCCCTGTGGGGGCACAACTCGTAGCTTCCGGCTCCCTTCAGGGAGCCAGACCAGCAGAAGCTTAATTGTATGTGTCCAGTGCGAGCACTGGATGCATACGTCCACAGAGCTGCGCTGTGGAGGAGGGCGGACCAACTGCTTGTTTGCGACGGTCCCCTTAAGAGAGGTCTTCCATCTACGAAACAGACCCTCAGTCGGTGGATAGTGGATGCCATCTCTATCTCTTATGAGTCCTCTGATCTCCCCTCGCTGCTAGGGGTCAAGGCTCACTCTACCTTCGTTACCTTCGTCAGATTCTATGGTCTAGATATGCGAGCCACTCCTGGCTCTTCTGTTCTCTCGCCCTAGCTGTGCTGGCTTCCACACTAGGCAAAGATTTGAAGGTCTGGCAGCGTGGGCATTCTCATTCCCAAAGCGCTTCAACGCAGCTCGAGTTCCTGAAGAGGAACGTCTCCAGGTTACGCGTGTAACCATGGTTCCCCGAAGGGTCGATGACGTCACCCGCCCGTGCCACTCCACCCTGAAGGTCTACGTGGCGACCATTGCGGCCTACCGCGCCCCCCTCGGTGGTCAGTCAAGTCAAGTCAATTCAAGTCACCTTTATTTATATAGCGCTTTTAACAATACAGATTGTGTCAAAGCAACTGACTGGATGCATACGTCCACAGAGCTGCGCTGTGGAGGAGGGCGGACCAACTGCTTGTTTGCGACGGTCCCCTTAAGAGAGGTCTTCCATCTACGAAACAGACCCTCAGTCGGTGGATAGTGGATGCCATCTCTATCTCTTATGAGTCCTCTGATCTCCCCTCGCTGCTAGGGGTCAAGGCTCACTCTACCTTCGTTACCTTCGTCAGATTCTATGGTCTAGATATGCGAGCCACTCCTGGCTCTTCTGTTCTCTCGCCCTAGCTGTGCAGGCTTCCACACTAGGCAGAGATTTGTAAGTTTGGCGGCATGGGCATTCTCGTTCCCAAAGCATTCTCCGATGCAGCTCGAGTTCCTGAAGAGGAATGTCTCAGGTTATATATGTAACCATGGTTCCTCGAGGGAACAAGATGCTGCATCTCAGTGGCATACTTCCGGCATCCCTGCCAGTGCTTGCTTCATTCCTAGAAGCTGACACCGGCTCCGCCACGCGTGCTTTTAAGCTTCCTGGTCGATGACGTCACCCGCCCGTGACGTCGCGCCCTTCCATTGGACAGATTACACATGTGATTCAGAGCATGGTCACAGAAGGCATTCCCAAAGTGTTCTCCGACGCAGCGTCATGGTTACATACAGAACCTGAGACGTTTTCTTCTAGGTGTTAAATAGATAAATAGGAAATGATCTGCCGCCCGCAGTGGATTTTGATATTCTAGGTATTACCAAATGACCAAAGCTTTGAGATCTCAGCGGACATGAAGGACTGTAATGTGATATAAGCTCGCTCAAGTACTGAGGAGCTAAACCATTCAGGGCTTTGTAAGTAATTAGCAAGATTTTAAAATGTATACACTGCACTGGCTCCCTATTGAACAGAGTTGACAGAACCGGGCTAATATGGTCGTACTTCGTGGTTATAGTAAGAACTCTAGCTGCTGCATTTTGGACCAGCTGGAGTTTGTTTATTAAGCACGCAGAGCAACCACCCAATAAAGCATTACAATAATCTAACCTTGAGGTCATGAATGCATGAATTAACATTTCTGCATTTGACAATGAGAGCATAGGTAGTAATTTAGATATATTTTTAAGATGGAAAAATGCGGTTTTACAAATGCTAGAAACGTGGCTTTCGAAGGAAAGCTTGCTATCAAATAGCACACCTAGGGTCCTAACTAATGGCAAAGAATTGACAGAGCAGCCATCATGTGTTAGACAGTGTTCTAGGTTATTACATGTGGAGGTTTTTGGTCTGACAATTAAAGGCCAGGACACACCAAGCCGACTTCAAAGAACTAGCGGCGACAAAAGCTGACGGTGTTGTTGCCTCACGTCGGCAGCGTCTAGACCAAAAAGCTGCGCTTGAACACACCGCTCAGACTACAGCCAACTGCAAACTAACACGTGTGTTCTGCACCTGTGTGAGAGGAATTATCTGTCAGTATCAGCAGTTATCAATAGTAAATATTGGTCATTCAAAAGGAGAAACCGAAAAAAGGATATGTGAGATGCGCAGATATATAAAATGTAAACAAAGCAGTGCTTGTTTACCATTTTGAATATCAGTAATGTTGATAACTTTCGTCATTTTAAGTGGCTCATTTTGTTATAAAAATATTCGCATATTTGAATGCTTTGGTAAAATTATGTAGCATTAGAACAGCCTTCTGTCTGTGCCGCCTTTATTTACGTGCTCGTTTTCATCACTTTCAGTTTAAATCTGGGGCACTGACTCGTTCACTAAACTGAACATCCAATCAGAGTTCTCACTCTTGACGACGGCCCCGATGCCGATTCAACATGTTGAATCTGGCAAATTGCTGCTGGCTTGAGCCCGATGAGAGCTGACATGAGGAACACACCAAACAAACTAGCCCGACAGACGCTCACCGACGGCCTGATGTTGCCCAACGGCTGACCATCAGCTTGATATGTCCCGGCCTTAACACCTCTGTTTTTTCAGAATTTAGCGGTAGGAAATGACTAGTCATCCAGTTTTTTATATCAACTATGCATTTTTTTAGTTTTGCGAACTGGTATATAGAAATATAGAGCTGAGTATCATCAGCATAACAGTGCAAGCTAACAGTATGCTTCCGGATAATATCCCCTAAGGGTAACATGTAAAGCATGAAAAGCAACGGTCCTCGTGCTAAGCCTTGTGGTACTCCATACTACACTTGTGATCCTCATTATTCACTGCTACGAATTGATGACAGTCAGATAAGTAAGATTTGAACGATGCCTATGCAATTCCACTAATGCCAACATAATTTTCTAGTGTACTCAAAAGAATGTTGTGGTCGATAGTGTCAAAGGCAGCGCTAAGATCCAGTAGCACTAATACAGAGATACAACCACGATCAGATGATAAGAGAATGTCATTTGTAATTCTGATGAGAGTAGTCTCAGTACTATGATACGGTCTAAATCCTGACTGGAAATCCTCACAGATACTATCTCTCTAAGAAGGAACAAAGCTGAGAGGATACTGCCTTTTCTAGTATCTTTAACAGAAAAGGGAGATTTGAGACTGGTCTGTATGTAATGACATCTCAAAATTACAAATGTTGCTTTGGCAACTAACTGAAATAAAATAAGTTTAGGATTTAAAAAAAATATTTTATTTCAGTTAATGTAAGTATTGTTACTTGAAATAAAATAAAATATTATTTTATATAAATATTTTTTATGGTTTTGGTTAATGATAACCCTGATGGACATCTTGTTGCTCTCCACAGAACTGCCGCCGCCATCGCTTACGGTCTGGACAAGAGTGACGGTGTGAAAAACATCCTGGTGTTTGATCTCGGTGGCGGCACCTTTGATGTTTCCCTGCTGACCATTGATAACGACATCTTCGAGGTGGTGGCCACCAATGGAGACACTCACCTCGGTGGGGAAGACTTCGATCAGCGCGTCATGGAGCACTTCCTCAAGCTATACAAGAAGAAGACCGGAAAGGACGTGCGCAAGGACAACCGCGCCGTGCAGAAGCTGCGTCGTGAGGTGGAGAAGGCCAAGAGAGCACTGTCCACCCAGCATCAGGCCCGCATCGAGATCGAGTACTTCTTCGAGGGTGAAGACTTCTCCGAGACACTGACCCGCGACAAGTTTGAGGAGCTCAACATGGTAAGAGAAGCTCCGCTTTACCAACAAATCCTTAACAAAACTAGAACTACAATGTATTAATAATGTTAATAAAACTGCAATTTATTAATAATAATTTTATTATTAATAATATTATTTCCCTTTGCTACATTAAGCAATTTCTCGCTTAAAATTGCCAATGTTGCTGGTGTGTTAAATCACAAACATTATTTTTATTTAGCTGATTCATATGAAAAGGTCTTTAAAGTCCCTGTAAAGTCAATTCTGAGAATTATTTCTAAGCGCATTATAAATGTTACAAATGTATTGCTGAAACACATTACAAAGACTGTGAATTCTGTAGTACTGAATAGTGGAGTTAGACCGTTAAACAGTTTTTCACCAATTCTGTGTTCGGGATTTTTTTGGCGGGGCTAAAACGGTGGCTCGATGACGCACTGGAGCCACCGAGCATGGCCCCTCCACTAACACTATAACTAGAGCACATTTGCATCAGTTCACCTGCTCAATCGCGAGTTACTGTCAGCACCATTAGTTACTACAGCCTACAGTTTGCTAGCTAGCTATGCCTTCATCACGGAAATGTGTATTACTTGGTTGCGATAACTTGCAAAACAGCTCTGTGTCCTTATTTCAATTTCCTAATAATGATTATATCAAAAAGAGGTGGATTAATTTTGTGTATTAAAGAGCCACCTTGATGGAGAGCTGAGGATCACCACCAACACCTGCCTCTGCAGTGATCATTTTACACCGGATAGTTTTATAAACTTTTATCTGAGACAACTGGGATTCACTGATAAGCTTTCCCGTGAGTGGGCGTGGTTTCAGCGCAGACAGCGGACATGCCCCCAGCGTTTGAGAACAGAGTGTACCACTCGTTTTTTCAAGATTTTGATAACTTATGTTATTTACTCGAGCAGATTTTTTTTATCATTCAAATTTGTGTGTGTGAGTGGTTAATAACACATTTTTCTGTGGTGTGACAAACTCAGAACACATTTAATATTGCCTTTACAGGGACTTTAATTTTATAGTTTTAGATGTAAAAATGTTTTTTAATTGATGATAAATTTCAAAATGTTTTTTTTCTTTCAATATTTTGCGTAATTTTAAGCCATTATTTGGTCGAAAATCTTAGCTGGCATGGTGTTTGTTACGCACAGCATAGAGACAAGAAGATTTAAGATCCAAACGCAGCTTTTAATAAGGGGTAATCCACAAACATAGTCCAAACAGGCAAAAGGTCCAAAGCACAGACAGGGCAGTCCAAACAACAATATCCAGAGCACAGGCAACAAAAAAAAACAAAAACAAAACAAGACACAGGTGCACTGGAAACTAGGGCTTACAATAGCAGTGCTAACACAAGGTACCCTTTGTCCAAATACCCGCACTTGAGGTTTTTGCACTTGACCACTTGACTACAATTGAGGTATTTCCTGTATTTGGTCCAAGTGCTCAAGTGAGCATGAAGACCACAAGTGTGTGTATAACTTTTCATTACCTGATGGGACACACTTATAGTGTTGTAAAAATGCAAGTGTTTACAGAGCTTTATTTTTATTTTCAATACTTTGCATTTTAAAATCAGTTTCTAAACGTCTGTTCAGTAGTCTCTATAACAGATGACACAATTTAATTTTGTGGTGCTTCTAATTAAGTAATAAAATGCAGTTGCAAATGTTGTACAAAATAATTATCACCACTACTCATTTACACCAAAAAAACGTGCAACTTTTTGTTATACTACCAAATTATATGTAATATCTAACTATTATTAATATTTAACATGCATTGGAAAGGTTTCCGTGACCTCTCGCAAGATCTCTGCAAAAAGTCTTACGATTTATTTCCACAACATGATGCATGATGGGATACACTAAGCCTCGAATACAGCTCCGGAGCGGTATTCAAGATAGTGTGGATTTAGTGTGCGCGTTAAGGGCACTGCGCTTTGGCGTTTTTAAGACCTGGGACAGTCTTGTGCACTTACTTCCTGTCGAGCGCATGAGCTCTCAAGTGACTCAAGACCGCAAGTGTGGGTATTTGGACAAGGGGTAAGGGCATGTCCACACGTACACAGGTATTTTTATAAACTGATTTTTTCCTCCTTCCGTTTAAAAAAAAATCTCCATCCACATGAAAACGCAAACGCATGCTATGAAGCACTGTTAAGAGCATGCCAAACCAACAGGTGGCGATATAATCGCTACCGTAGAGCCATGTTGGCCAAGACTAAGCCTAAGGCTGCGTTCCAGTTCCCTTTTAGACACGCACTCGCGAACTTCCCTAAGCACTTCCCCTCTGGAGAATCCCCGCCGCCATTTTGAAGTGCGTTCCACTTCGTCAAGTGGACGAGGGAAGTTTAAATGGACATACCCTCGACCCCTCGATTTTGACCGAGGGAGCGATTCGCCCCTTGTCCAAATACCCA